CAAAAAACTCGGTAAGTGAATGGTTGGAGACATTGAAGGTCATGTAACAAAGCGACGGCGGTGGCGATCATGCTGTCAATTCTTATCAGACCAGAGTGCTTGAAAACATGTGTATGCACAGTTGGACTGTATGTGTTGACCATAGAGGTTCGATTTCATTTCCTCGTCCCTAAAATGTAGGCCCAATCCCTGTCCTCCTTGCACATTCTCACTTATCTTGTATGCATTATGAGTTTGACAGCGATCAGGGAAGTTTACTTTCCTGTATTATGTTGTAGAACGATGATGATAATTACGTCCAAAACAATGCAGCGCGTGGGTCCACTCATTTGTTTTTCTTATCCAACTAAATAATTAATTTCTTCCAATAACGTACCTTTTAATAGTTGTAGTTTTGTCGAACGGGCGCACAGGAAACTGGCACACATAATTCATGGGAGACCTTGTCGAACCTCTAAACTACCGCAAATGTTCTATCGAGAAATTTTGGTCGTTAGGTATCGTCATCTGCTCAGTACATAGTGTGGTTTGTATTTTATCCCTTCGATTCTCTGTTCGCTGTTTGATGGTGTTGATAACCACATATCACTGATGATAGCCCGTTAGGAACGATATTTGTGCCTTGCTCTCTAGCTGTTTCAGTTTACCCTATTTCAGACACATCAAATGACATTATCGATCAGGTTAAACACGCTGATGACTGAAACGAATGGGTGGACACTTGCAAAATTGTACGTGTAGCTGTGCCTTTCTCAGATGTCGGTCAACCCAGTAATAACTGTGTTTGACCGTTTACTTTGTTAGGCTTTCCTTGAAAATCATTTAAAACTATCATTCGATTTCCTCTGTACTTTGTTCAGTACCCGGTAGAAGTAGTTCCACAAGCATACATCGATCCATCTTTGGAAGAACGTAGTACACAAACAGTGCGTGTGGACGCGGCTGTGGATGCCACGGTGTCCGGTTCATACAACACATCGGTGTCTGTGAATATCGGTACGGACGAGGACGATATCAGTGCATTTCTCGGCAGTTTGTTCTGTGATGCCAGTGTGGAGACAAAATTTCCGGCTACTCAACTGGTCCACGGTAGGTTTTCCATTTACATGTGATTTTCTTGCTGTACGTCTGAGCGTGGTAACATGTTCCCGTCTACCGTTAGATTTGACTTACTTCTGGTTGATCTACAGGAATTGCCATCTGTGCGATGAGCTAAGCTATCTGCTTAGAGAGCTGCAATTACATTACGGTGGTTTCAAATCATTAGTACTACGCAAAGGAAACAATTTCGTTATCATTTTGGAGTAACGTTTAGTTAAGTCCATTCGATTATTTACAAACACCAGATACTATTGGTGACCGTCGGCTTTATCGCTCAGGCCTTGCTGTATTTCCATCACCTACTTATTCGACCATCGAGAGAGAAGTAAATAGAACGGTCAAAAAGCTGACAAGACCATCAACATAGTACAAAGAAAGCTAGTAAATCCGATCGGATTTGAAAGTGATTAGACTCTTAAGCGTCCTTGGTAATGATGCTCCGTCAGATCACTCAGTGAATTTAACCCGCAATCGGGTTTCTTCCGAGGTCTCTATCCGGTTGACCAACATTTTATCATGCTCATATCGAACTAAATACCTGTCATAAATAGAATATTTTCAAGGTTATTTGCTACCCGTGTTTTTTTTGTCTCCGGTCCACGTCTCATAGAGTACACAGATACCGCACTGGACGCCAATGAAATCTTGGATAGCATTGACCGGATCAGTCAGTACGCGGACGCTGCATTCGACACGAATGATTTGCCATGCAATCAAACCAAATCGGATTACCCGGACACAGAACCGACACAGTTGTTGACGGGGACGACGGAAAAATTCAGCGGTCAAATTATCACCCTCACCCATGAGGGTAGTCAATCGGTCGGGCTATTGACCTCGTTCGATAAAGATCAGGAGTCATCGTGTGATCATCGTGTGACTCGGCCAATCCCGACTGTGACACACGATACGCGATACGAGGCTGAGCAAAACTATTTCACCCCGATACGACCGTTGGAGACACCGCCACCGTTACGAACACAAAATCCATCACAATTGCTCACTATCTATCAATCGACACCGGATGGGATTCAACCCGTTGGTGATTCGCCACCGCTTCGCTGTCGTAAGAACAACTGTTTATACCTGTTCCAATTACTACATTCTGTCCACACTGACTTGGTTCGATATATTAGGACAATTTTTGGTTCTTAAAGTCCCTCATACTCGAGATGATGGCTTAGGTGGATTACACATTGACTGACGTATGATTACCACCCTCTTGTGTGAAATGAATGTACTCGCGTGCACAGCCGACCGCGCCTTAATGTGTCTCAGGCAGTCGACGAGTCACGCACAACTCCAATGCGTTGCGCGTGTTTTCAAGATTGTTTGATTCATCCGTCGGATCTACGGAATAATGCATGTGATCCAGTCACGTGCGCTGTCACCTAAAAATGTACCACATTTAGACCGTCAGTGAGATCAGATTGACGCGTTTAAATCCATATATATATATACTACTTATTACGAAATATTCTGTAAAGACAGTCAGGTGACGTGTTTTGCAAAACGAAACAAAACATCGGATCATAGTACTGATTTTTCAATTGAGTGGCTCTGAAACAGTTGTTTATCCAAAAATCACCCGGTGTTGCAAACAAGGTTATTGTGACGAAAATACTCTTCCTGGGTACAAGTATATGAATAAACTGACAGAAAATTACTGGATACGCATGCCTGAAGAGCGGTAAGAACCACGAAACCGGTCAAGTGCTT